GGAGGGATTAGAGAAGGGAAAAAAGGAGGGAAAAAAAAAAAAAGTTACACAGAGCCCAAAGAGGAGCCAGTGGCAGAGGAAAAGACCAGCTGTAACCGGCAGGAAGACGGGACCAGAGTGCGCAGAGGCTCAGCAAAAGCAGTGTATGAAAATGTCGTGCTGAAGTGCATTACTCTGTAAGCTAATTTATAACGCAATAAATAAACAAAGAAGAATGTAATATTCTGTTCAGATTTCTGGATCTGAATTTCTGTAAAAGGAAAGGAAGCTGTGCTGGATAGCTTTAGTTGTCAACTTGACACACCTGCTACAGGGAGCCACAACTGGGGAATCTCCTCCATTGGACTGGACTTGTGGCCATGTCTGTGGGGTATTTTCTTGATATTTGAGTGATGTGGGAAGGCCCAGCCCACTGTGGGCAGTGCCACCCCGGGCAGGTTGTTCTGTATTGTATAAGACAGTGGGTTGAGCATGGGCCAGGAGAGCAAGCCAGCAAGCAGGTATCCTCCTGGCCTTTGTTTCAACTCCTGCCTCCAGGTTCCTGCCCTGAGCTCCTGCCTTGGGCTCCCTCAGTGATAAACTGTAACCCAGAGATGTGAGCCAAATAAACCTTTTTCTTCCCAAGTTGGTATTGGTCAGAGTGTTTTGTCACAGCAGTTGAAGGATAACATAGACAGCAGCTCAGCAGTGAGCGAAGCATCAGGCAGGAGACAGTGGGTGTGGTCGGAAAGATGGAGGTAGCTGTGGTTGCCTCAGCACGTGGTCCGTGAAGGCTAGGTTGGCTGTGGCTCTTGAAGAGCCATCAGGGCTTCTACTGGGTAGTGTCGGCCTTCTTGTTCCTTGCTCCTTTTGGTCTCTTTTAGATATTGAGTGATCTCATCCCCACCTTTCACCCACACTTAGCTCTGTATTCAGTTGGAAGGTGTACATGACCAATAACTCAAAGGAGGACGTAGATGGACTCAGTTCCTACAGTGCCTCCCCCTCACATAGCTTCAGCAGACAAGCTTCAGACGTTGCACCTTCATTTCCTAGCAATTTAACTTTGTGGGATTTTCCCCATAAAATAGCAGCCTGGCAATCACTACAAATCAGCAGAAATGGCTTAATGATGAAATCCATTCACCATCTTGAGGATGGACTATTGTCTTCCACAAGGAGTATTTATTTATAATTATAAGAAATCCCAAAGAGGGGCTAGAGACGGTAATGACTGTGTGGACCCAGAGCACTAGTCAGATGCTCTCTGTGATCCACATTCTCTTTGCACACTATTTTCAGGGTGTCTTTTAAGCCTAGACTGTAATTATGAATTATGAAAGATGTTAGATTGTAATATTTATGTATATGGAGATGAAGCTGCCCGAAATTTTTAAAAAATGTCCAGTGTCTTTTCTAAGAGAATCCACCAACACCAGGGACCAATCTATGGGTCCTTGCTATGTTAAGTTGTTATGGATCACTGTTTACGTTAAGTTGGCAAGCTATCTTGTATCTTTCTTTCTCTTAGAAGATATGGCACTATGACACAATGTAAGTTTTGGGAGACAAAACACAGAAAAAGCAGGATAGCTCAGTGTTCAAATATATAGGGTTTGTATGAAGGCCAGTTTGTGTTTTCTGTCATCTGCTGCCTATGGGAACTTTGGCAACTACTGAACTTCTCTAAAGCCCAGTTTATCTGCAGAATCGGTATCAGGCTAATAGTTATTGAATCTTTGTATACATTTGTTGAGGGACAAGTCTTGGTAAACAATAACTCCTCTATCACACCAAGTTACAAGCTAACCAGAGATAAAATACGGTTAAGACAGTTGCAAAGAACTTGGAGTCTCTTTATGGCAATGTAGGCTTCACAGCCAGACCTTGTTCCAGGAGTGTCCCTTTGCATGGGCAGAGCACAGCATGTGCTCCCTGAGGAGGAAGGGAGAGCTTCCTTTCATCACCTGGGCTCTACCCGCAGATTTGTTTGCACTCTACTGGCTGCAGTCAAGCAGCAAACAACTGAGAGTGCTACCCTTCCAGAATTTCTCCTCCTGGAAAAAAGCACCAGGAGTCAGGAGAATGATTGACCAAGAGGCAGCAACTTCAGAGGGTCATCTGTGAGATGAATAAGGTGCTTCACAGCTGTTAAACTACCAACAGACTATACCGGCTGGTACTCTTACTGTAGATGTCATAACTGAGTGTCAGGGCTGAGGGAAGGAGATGGGATCGGAAAAAAAGGGTTTGGAAGATGATATGTGTTGTTTCATGGGGACAAAAATAAACAGTTCAGGATGTAACTTTTAAACTGAACCAGAGGCCAAATGTTTATACTTATCAGGTTCTGTTATTGTTGTCCAGGGACAAAGAACTACTGTTTATGAAGTGCCAGCTTTGAACATATGTTGATGGCAAAGCACCAGATGAGCCGATGCCCCTGGTAATGACTGTGTGGACCCAGAGCACTAGTCAGATGCTCTCTATGATCCACATTCTCTTTGCACACTATTTTCAGGGTATCTTTTAAGCCTAGAACTGTAATTATGAATTATGAAAGATGTTAGATTGTAATATTTATGGATATGGAGATGAAGCTCCCTGAAATTTTTTAAAAATGTCCAGTGTCTTTTCTAAGAGAATCCACCAACACCAGGGACCAATCTATGGGTCCTTGCTATGTTAAGTTGTTATGGATCACTGTTTACGTTAAGTTGGCAAGCTATCTTGTATCTTTCTTTCTCTTAGAAGATATGGCACTATGACACAATGTAAGTTTTGGGAGACAAAACACAGGAAAAGCAGGATAGCTCAGTGTTCAAATATATAGGGTTTGCATCAAAGCCAGTTTGTGTTTTCTGTCATCTGCTACCTATGGGAACTTTGGCAACTACTGAACTTCTCTAAAGCCCAGTTTATCTGCAGAATCGGTATCAGGCTAATAGTTATTGAATCTTTGTATACATTTGTTGAGGGACAAGTCTTGGTAAACAATAACTGTAAAACAGGAAATATAAGGGGCACAAATTCCTCTCCCTCCATTGTCAATCTCTCAATGGATGGGATGCTCAGATGGCACCAGCAATTTGCTTTACCAAATTCACCTATAACATTGCTAATCTCATCCAGAAACACCTCAGAAACACCCTGAAATGGTTTAATATGAGCTACCCAGGCACTGACCAATCATACAGGAACTTAACCATCACAGGAGGGCCTCATCTCTTCTTAAGATAAAGAATGCAGGCACAGGCCTGTGTGGTATAGGGAAGTTCAGCATTTGGTTATCTGCCTACAACCTTCTCATTCCATCATGGCTTAGTTAAACCAACAAACTCATGAGACTGGGGGGAAGATTCTATTTCCTGCTAGTTCTTATAATATCCAAGAGCAAATTTCAGGAAGAAATAGCTTTTTTCAGATTTCTGTTAATGTCTAATTTGACTGAACTGGGCGTGCTCTTTGTTTAAGGTGATTCTCTGAATTCCTTCTCTTATTTCTCTTTTTAGGAATTGTTAGCCAGGGCCTTTTTTTTGTTTAGTTCCAAATATTATTTTGGGTTGAATTGTTTAGGGTTCATTGGAGAAATTACCAATAACTAATACATAATGTATTCATTCATATTTGTTATATATAAATCTTTACATTACATACATAATTTTTAAATTAAATTGCAGAGTATTATGCATAATACATATAATGTATATTTATGAGGATATTTATTTTGAGGCATTGACACAGAATTATCAAAACTGACATCTTCCATAATCTTCTACTTGTAAGCTAGTGACCTCTGGATACCTGTAGGATAGTCTAGGCCAAGTTCCCTGGGAATTTATGATGTGAGTTGCAGTCTGAGGGCAAGAGAAGATGAGAAGATACGTCCCAGTTCAAGCAGTAAAACAGGAAATATAAGGGGCACAAATTCCTCTCCCTCCATTGTCAATCTCTCAATGGATGGGATGCTCAGATGGCACCAGCAATTTGTTTTACCAAGTTCACCTATAACATTGCTAATCTCATCCAGAAACACCTCAGACACACCCTGAAATGGTTTAATATGAGCTACCCAGGGACTGACCAATCATACAGGAACTTAACCATCACAGGAGGGCCTCATCTCTTCTTAAGATAAAGAATGCAGACACAGGCCTGTGTGGTATAGGGAAGTTCAGCATTTGGTTATTTGCCTACAATCTTCTCATTCTATCATGGCTTAGTTAAACCAACAAACTCATGAGACTGGGGGAAGATTCTATTTCCTGCTAGTTCTTATAATATCCAAGAGCAAATTTCAGGAAGAAATAGCTTTTTTCAGATTTCTGTTAATGTCTAATTTGACTGAACTAGGCGTGCTCTTTGTTTAAGGTGATTCTCTGAATTCCTTCTCTTAATTCTCTTTTTAGGAATTGTTAGCCAGGGCCTTTTTTTCAGTTTCTCTTTATGCTGCACACCCCCACCTCCTCCATCTGTAGGTCTCAAAGTCCTATCACTAGCCATGAAGTCTGCCTTCATGTTTAAGTCAATGGACATTTCATAGTAATGGTTCCATATTGGAGTGAGCCAATACTTGGTTATAGAGAAGTCTATTTAGAAGTCACTGAATTTCAGAAAAACCAAGTATCTTCCCATCTATATGGCAACTGAAACATTTGCTCTATGGAACAAAGCAATAGGGCTTATGTCAGAACCATAATCTGACTGGAAATTTTTGTCAGTCTATTATTCCCCTTAAAGTCTACCTTTTCCTTCCAGTTGCCCTTCAGATCATCTGCTAAGAGGCTTTGTTGTTGGATTTTAGGGCCTGGCACAGTATTCTGTCCTCTTTTATGGCTACTATGACAATAAACGCACGATTGGATGGCTGAATTTCCGGCTGCCGCTTTCTTACTTCCTGGTGGGCATTATGTGCATTGGATTCAGCTTTCTGGTGGTCCTCAAAGCGTAAGTTTCATGTCTGATTTCTGGAATCAAACCAGGAATAAATCTGAGAATTGGATATAATTTTGATGTTATTTCATATCTAGAGAATGCTAAGTGTGTAAGATACAAAATGTAGTTTTAATATCAGCACTAGCTAGACTCTAACATCCTCAAATCAAAAGGGCTGAACACAAACACAGGCCTTTGGGTCATCCCACTGGGTCAGAAAGATGGCAACATGTCTCTCTTGTATTTAAGCATAATTTTGAGCTGTGCCCTTTTGTACTTGAAGGATTATATGACTCAAGGTTGCCAAGACAGAAGGGAGCTGCTGACCCCTGTGCACATAGAAAGGCTGTGGGTGGGGAATAAGCTCTCTAGGCAGAATCTGCTCTCTACTCATTTTTAAAAAGCCAGAATAGTCATCCAACCAAAAAACTTTTTAGCTATATAAGACAGAAAAAAAAACCACCTTCCCCAATGAGACCAACACTCAATTCTGCAATGATCATTTGTGCTAGGAAAGAATTTGTTAGAATATGGGAAAAGATCTCACTGGGGAACTTAAAAAATTGCTATTGCTTTATCCCCTTGCCGTTAAAGACATTGTAGATATCTAACACAGTTATTTGGGGCCATGGAACAAAACAAAATAAAACAATACAAAATGTGCATCCTTTAGCCAACTCTCTGATATAGGTTAAAAGAGTCTAAACATCTCAAGGATTGCATGCTTTCATTTTACTGTATACAAGGTGTCAGGCTTTGGCCCTGCTGTGGAAAGACCCCTCTAAGGGTCTTAGAGGGACAAAGTACACAGTCACCCTAAGTAGATTCGCTGGAGCAAGCTGTCCCACACTGGTGTCCCACCCCTGCCTCGCTTGCTGGTTATTTCAGGAAAAACTGTTATATTTAGTTTTTAAGTTGTTTTAAAACTTGAAAATAAAACCTTACTTAAGACATCATACCAAGAGATTTACTTATTAACTAAGTTTAACAAGAGACCCTGAATGTAAGATAACTGTCTGACCAGAGTACCACCACATTCCAACCCCTGTGCACATAGAAAGGCTGTGGGTGGGGAATAAGCTCTCTAGGCAGAATCTGCTCTCTACTCATTTTTAAAAAGCCAGAATAGTCATCCATCCAAAAAACTTTTTAGCTATATAAGACAGAAAAAAAAAATACCTTCCCCAATGAGACCAACACTCAATTCTGCAATGATAGTTTGTGCCAGGAAAGAATTTGTTAGAATATGGGAAAGGATCTCACTGGGGAACCTAAAAAATTGCTATTGTTTTATCCCCTTGCCCTTAAAGACACTGTAGATATCTAACACAGTTATTTGGGGCCATGGAACAAAACAAACAAAATAAAACAATACAAAATGTGCATCCTTTAGCCAACTCTCTGATATTTTTTTTTTTTTTGCCTGAAATACTGGGAGTATAACCCAGTACCTTACATATACCTGGGAAAGAAATCTACCACTTAGAGCCATGTCCTCAGTGACTCTGTCAGGCGCCAACTCTCTGATATAGGTTAAAAGAGTCTAAACATCTCAAGAAGGATTGCATGCTTTCATTTTACTGTATACAAGGTGTCAGGCTTTGGCCTTGCTGTGGAAAGACCCCTCTAAGGGTCTTAGAGGGACAAAGTACACAGTCACCCTAAGTAGATTAGCTGGAGCAAGCTGTCCCACACTGGTGTCCCACCCCTGCCTCACTTGCTGGTTATTTCAGGAAAAACTGTCATATTTTGTTTTTAAGTTGTTTTAAAACTTGAAAATAAAACCTTACTTAAGACATCATACCAAGAGATTTACTTATTAACTAAGTTTAACAAGTTAGTCTATTCTATGAGGTGAATATTGTCATTGCCAGATTCCTGAACAAAACTAATCTAATCAGAGAGAACTCTAAAATAGTAAAAAGTCTTGGAAAAGATTACTGGAAGAGACATAAAGTGTACAAGACTGAGCATAGAGTCAGTAGCAGAGTGCTTGATTACCTTATGCAAAGCCCTGTTTCTGTCCCTACCTCAGAAAACCAGTAAGCCATTACATGGAACTATGCTGTTGAACATTAATAGATCTGTGATAACTAGAACAGTCTTCTGGCAGATGAATCTAAAATGTTTAGAGAAAGACTGAACAAGACAAGCAAAATCTATGCTCTAAAATTTTCTAGTGGTAATACTAAAAAGATAAATATAATTTTGATAATATTATTTGTTTAATCAAGTACTAATATTTTAACATTGATAAAATTGATAAAATTGATAAAAAAATTGTTTTGGGCTGTTCTATGTCTTTCTGGGTGGGGGAATCAAGTCTTTGAAGTCTGTTATGTTGTACATGTGACACATTTTAAGTACTGGGTAAACACTTGCTATTGGGGTGGTTGCATTGATAAAGCAATCCCAGAGGATGTGGCAACTTCTTCAAATTTACCCAAAGATCCCATTTAGGATAGCAACTAGTCACTAACTCATTTTCCTCTAAAGTCATCCATATGTTAACCAGGCTGCCCTGGCTTTGGATCTCCTTCTGTCATGGAGGTTTGGTGGCTTGTCACCTGATTAGTAAGTCATTTAAACTCCTGGCTCTATAAGGCAATACATGTCTCCTAGTCTATTCTATGAGATGAATATTGTCATTGCCAGATTCTTGAACAAAACAAATCTAATCAGAGAGAACTCTAAAATAGTAAAAAGTCTTGGAAAAGATTATTGGAAGAGACATAAAGTGTACAAGACTGAGCATAAAGTCAGTAACAGAGTGCTTGATTACCTTATGCAAAGCCCTGTTTCTGTCCCTCATACTCATTTTTTTTTGTCCTGTCCTCACCTCCTACTCAAATCACATAAACCCTTGGGATAACTCTCATTGGATTAATAGGATTTGTTACTCAAACTGAATAGAAGGAGTTTGAGTATTAAAATCAAGTGGGCTGTATGAGGGCTCTGTCACCTTGCCCATACTATAAATCTCAGCATTCTCTTCCACAAAATGGGAGCAAATATCTGTTTTTAATTATCTACCCTTGAACCCTGGTGAACGGATTGCTTTTTTCCCTTAATTTTAACCCCTCCTTTCTCTTTCTAGTCCCTCCCTTCTCTTCTGTTCTTGAAGGCTTTGCAAGCCCTGTAGTAAAAAGAATTACACTAGTTTTGAAAGCAAGCTAGCACAGTTAAGTGTTGTAAAGCTATGACAGCTAGTCATCCTCTTTATATATTGTCCTCATCAATTTGAAGCTTAATACTGCAAAGTGGAAGTGGTTTGATTCTAGAATCTAGCTATCCTCACTAAAAGCACTTCTATAAACCAAAAATTCTGAATTTTACAATGGTGTATTTCACAGCTACTAAATTACTGGCAAGAGCTGAATACGATCCCATTTAGGATAGCAACTAGTCACTAACTCATTTTCCCCTTGAAGTCATCCATATATTAACCAGGCTGGCCTGGCTTTGGATCTCCTTCTGTCATGGAGGTTTCGTGCCTTGTCGCCTGATTAGTAAGTCATTTAAACTCCTGGCTCTATAAGGCAATACATGTCTCCCATTCCCACTGCCAGCCTTGTAAGCAATATTTGGTAGAAGAAGAATAGATGAGAACTGAATAGTTATATAGTTATATACTCATTTTTTTGTCCTGTCCTCACCTCCTACTCAAATCACATAAACCCTCGGGATAAACCTCAGTGGATTAATAGGATTTGTTACTCAAACTGAATAGAAGGAGTTTGAGTATTAAAAGCAAGTGGGCTGTATGAGGGCTCTGTCACCTTGCCCATACTATAAATCTCAGCATTCTCATCCACAAAATGGGAGCAAATATCTGTTTTTAATTATCTACCCTCGAGCCCTGGTGAACGGATTGCTTTTTTCCCTTAATTTTAAGCCCTCCTCTCTCTTTCTAGTCCCTCCCTTCTCTTCTGTTCTTGAAGGTTTTGCAAGCCCTGTAGTAAAAAGAATTACACTAGTTTTGAAAGCAAGCTAGCACAATTAAGTGTTGTAAAGCTATGACAGCTAGTCATCCTCTTTATATATGTCCTCATCAATTTGAAGCTTAATACTGCAAAGTGGAAGTGATTTGCTTCTAGAATCTAGCTGTCCTCACTAAAAGCACTTCTATAAACCAAAAATTCTGGATTTTACAATGGTGTATTTCACAGCTACTAAATTACTGGCAAGAGCTGAATAACTCAGAGAATGCATGCCTAATGAGACTTTCCCTATTGCAGGGTTCTCTGAGAACACATGGACTTTCTTCTGCTTATGAGCCTGTCAGCAACACTACTCATAGAACACATTAAAAATACCCTTCAACACTTTATGTTGTCATATCTGAACACTGAATGATGTTAGAATTTTGTTTATATGTACTATCTTATATGTATCATAAACCAACATCTATCGTAAACTGATATAAACACACATACAAATATTTTTTAGATTAAGCAGTAACAGTAGCCATAATTTATAATTCAAATAATTAATATTTGTCTAACACCTACTCACATCATCACATCATTAAAATGTTTAATTCACCCTTTTTTTCCTCTTTTTTTGAGACAGGGTCTTGTATATGCTAAGCTAAATCCAAACTCACCTCTTCACCTCTTCCTGTGTCCTGGGATTATAAGCAAGTGTATGCCAGACTGAACTCAGGGTTTCATACATGCTAGGCAGGCACTCTACTGAGCCACATTGCCAGCCAAACTCTTTAACTCTTTTTTAAAAAATATTTATTTCCAAATTTTATTGAATTTTTGCAAATTTCATACATATATTTTGATCAAATTTATATCCTTTTCCCCATCTGTACCTCCTTACTACTCCTGCCCAAGTTCATGTACTCTATTACACACAGACACACACACACACACACACACACACGCACACACACACACACACACACACACACACACACACAAAGTCTTAATAGAGTCAAACTTGTGTCCCCAAATGCCCTTTGGTGTGGGCCCATTCGCTGGAGCCTGGTCAACCTACCAAAAGTCAAACGCTCAAATAAAACTGATGTGCCCCTTCCTAGAAGCCATTAGTTGCCAATAATTCCTCAGGAAGGGATGGAGTTTCTAACCTACCTCTTCAAGTCTATGCTGGGATTTTGTCTGGCTTGAGCTTATGTGGGACTTGTGCATGCTGTCACCATTGCTGTGAGTTCATATGAGTAACCGCTCAGCTACCTGGAAAACTCTGCCCTGTGGTCGTCCAACCCCTCTGGCTCTTATTATCTTTTCACCCCCTCTTCTGCAATGATCCCTGAGTCTTGGGAAGCAGAAGACTGATATGAGTATCCTTCTTAGGGTTAAGCACTCTTCAGCATCTTATTCTCTGCACGTTGTCCAGTTATGAGTTCCTGTTTCGATCACCATCTGTTGCATAAGAGACTTCTCTGGTGAGAGTTGAGAGAGAGTAGAGATGCATTAATCTACGGGTATAACAATAAATCACTAAACAGTCAGTTTAATACTGTATCTATTTAGCAGAATAATAGCATTAGTCTCTCCCTATGGCCTATGACCTGTCTAGTCTCAGGTTCCTAAGCCTGATATCAATATCAGATATGGGCTCAATCTTATGAAACAGACCTTAAATCCAAATAGAAAGTAGTTGGTTACTCCCATAATATTTGTACCGCTATTGTACTAGTGTGCATATCTTGCCAGACCAGCTGTTGTTGTTGTACCTCACAGGATTCACAGCTGGATCGATGATTCTGTTTCTCTTCTGGTAGCAAGCTTAGCTCCTTCTGGCACTATGAAAGCTAGTCAAAGGAATAGCTGGATGTGGTGGCACACACTTTTAATTCCAGCACTCGGGAGGCAGAGGCAGGAGGATCTCTGTGAGATCAAGGCCAGTGTGGTCTACAAAGCAAGCTCCATGCCACCTGAGGCTACAGGGAGACTCTGTCTCAAAAAACAGAAAAGAAAGAAAAAGAAAGAAAACTAGCCAGTAGAGGTGAAGCTTTGAAGTCAGTACCAGCTTGACTTCTCCTTGTTTGCTGTACAGTTAATGTGTGTAATACCTTCAGCAATAGGTCTTACGATTAGGTTCTGTTGGGTAACAAAGAACAGGGGCAATGGCCAGTAGTGTTTGAGGGTCTAAGGAACCACCATGTCAACAGCTCTGAAAGAGGGAGTCCGTTTCTGGCATTGGGCTTTTTATTTGCTAGCCTGTGTATCGGGTAGGGCCACTGAACACTCAAGGATAACTACATTTAAACTTTTTTTATATGTGACCAAGCTTACATAGCCAGAACAGTATTTTGAACTCCATCCTCTAACTGCAGCCTTATTTTGCCCAAGCTCTGAGGAGGATTTGTCTGTTGTAAGAGGAGAAGCTTGCATGTTGTGATAGCAAAGACCCATGTCTAGCTTGTCCTAGGTAACCTTTTACAGTTTTTAAATACTCGGGAGGCAGAGGCAGGAGGATCTCTGTGAGATCAAGGCCAGTGTGGTCTACAAAGCAAGCTCCATGCCACCTGAGGCTACAGGGAGACTCTGTCTCAAAAAACAGAAAAGAAAGAAAAAGAAAGAAAACTAGCCAGTAGAGATGAAGCTTTGAAGTCAGTACCAGCTTGACTTCTCCTTGTTTGCTGTACAGTTAATGTGTGTAATGCCTTCAGCAATAGGTCTTACGATTAGGTTCTGTTGGGTAACAAAGAGCAGGGGCAATGGCCAGTAGTGTTTGAGGGTCTAAGGAACCACCATGGTCAACAGCTCTGAAAGAGGGAGTCCATTTCTGGCATTTGGGCTTTTTATTTGCTAGGATGTGTATCTGGTAGGGCCACTGAACACTCAAGGATAACTACATTTAAACTCTTTTTATATGTGACCAAGCTTACATAGCCAGAACAGTATATTGAACTCCATCCTCTAACTGCAGCCTTATTTTGCCCAAGCTCTGAGGAGGATTTGTTTGTCTGTTGTAAGAGGAGAAGTTTGCATGTTCTGATAGCAAAGACCCATGTCTAGCTTGTCCTAGGTAACCTTTTACAGTTTTTAA